AATTCCCTCGTCATTTCGCCAATCCCTTTCTCCCTCAATCATCAATATTCTCTGAGCTGCAGTACATTATTGATAAGCGAACAATGATCCTCAGTTTTACTTACAAGGGAATGGTCGCAAGTTGAGATGTCTAATCCAAACAAGCTGCATACCACTGGATGTAGCATAGAATGTTGGTCAAAGTCTGTCTTCCGTGTCTGCTTAGAGTATTTTTAGGCGAATTTATGCGGTTTAATTGTGAGAAAATCGTACACAAGAAATGCAGAACACGTCATTGCTCTTAGCTCGCCTTTGTGCATCTGTTATCTATCACGATTTTTACTGTTGGCAATATCATGGTCTCTAGTGGCTTATAGCTTTCTCCACAAAAGTGTTTAGCAGATACGGAAGACAGAATTGGAGTAAACGCTCTCTGCTGCGTATAATGGTACGCAGGTTGTCTGGATTACTACTTTAACTTCTGATAATTCCCTTACATATGTATGAATTTGAAGGTCTGTTTATCTATCCGTATGTATGTATCAAATAAAAACTCTTATTTCTAAACCGATCTGGTAAACTTGTTACGCATACACAGGGCGGGGCGAGTGCTACTTTCTACTCATCGTTATCGATTGATATCAATTTCATCTTCAGAAGAAAATGAAAAAATCTAAATGTTGGTACAGGCGGTAAGTGGAGTGCTGATCACGAAAACATAATGTTGGCATAGTACTGGCAATTACTGGGATTGGGACAGGGAATTGTTGAAACGAAATAGGCATGATGATATTTTTAGTATAGTATTGACAAAGCCGGGCTGAGCCATGTACTATATTCCAGCTAAAGATAGTAGCCTATAACTTTGAAATTGCAACTATCTTCATTCATGTGGTGCTTACAGGCAGGATTGGTAAAACTCAACAACTCAAGACCTCAAAACTTTGACGCAGTGGATTTCTTATCACCGAATTATGAAAGCAGTGCAATCCCTGTCGCGGAGCGTGCCGCCCTGCCGAGAAAATTGCTCTTAAGCGTACACGCGCAAGCCAATCTTACACGAGCTCGGACGAGTTGGCAATTCCTATCTCATCATTGGAGGCTGTCCGCCGCAATGCATCACAGGGTCCCGCAGCGATTCAGCGTTTCCAACTTTGGTCCACTCGTCCAATTTCAAAGCAAAGGATGTTGGAAAACGCTGATTTTCGCCATTTTCAAGCTCTCTAGAGTAGATTTTCGGGATCAGCGCATTGGATAACCCCAGATAGACGAGAAAATTTGACTAGGATAAGATTTGCTAAGCCACTGCCTTTATGTCAAATTCAGGTTGTTACGGTGGTATCTTTATTTACTCACGTTTCGACTATATGTGACTACGACTTCTACAGCTCTATGTGTCGTCCGCTACTGTTACGCGGCTACTAACTTTCTACTAATGCGGTGGATCTGAGGCTCCAAAGACGACATAGTCGCAATGTAGAGTCAACAAAATATCACCGTAACAATTTGGCTTTGGCATTAGCATCACATGAATACATCGGCATCAAATGACCAAGTTTATCAAAGAGAGAACATGGATTCTGCAAATCTTCTTTCTCGGTCGTCATCTACAGGTACACGAAAGAATGGACGTGAACATTACTTTGAAGGTTGTCGTTAGCAAAAATGCGAACTTCAGTTTATTTTGTTGCACGTTACCCTTTCCGTATTACGTTTCCAAAGTGAATGCACCCTTTGATGTGTGGGCTATTTAGGAAATTAACATACCGTATCCAGTGAAGCAAAAATGCAGTCCGCTCCAGCAAGAGCAGTCGATGGCAACACAGAATACATATTCAAGTATAAATGGAAAAATGAAGCAGTTTTCAAAGGAAGAAGAATTCGTAAGATTGTTTCTTCAAGCACCGCTTCGCAGTAATCCATTCTGTGCAGAAGATTTCTTTGACGAGAATGGAGATAATTTTGCCGATATCTAAAAATTGATTTGGAAGGTGCTGAACATTACGACTTGATGCCACTCCTTTCTGATAAAAAGTACAAAGTCTGTCAGGTAATTTAGTAAATTGCGCTTGTCTATAAGATAAATGTTGATTTCAGATACTGGTTGAGATACACGGTCAGGCCAGTTTGTAACTTCATCTTCTTGTTTCAATAGCTAAGTAAGTATCTAACTGGGCCAACCTAGGGCAAAGTAATATTTTTGATTTAGGCAAGGATATGCGCTTTTTTCTTACGAAATAAACGGTAATAGGATGAATGCATGAGAGTACTCCTTCATTCATATGTCTTGCCTGAAGCAATATGGAGCTGTTGAATTGAAGACTCTTATCGGTTTAAGTAACTCTTTAATGGTACTAAAGAGATGAAGACTGTGACTGTTGAGCATTAGCCTTTCAATTAACCATTTGTTAATTCATTTACTCCATATAAAATTTTGAATGTGTTGTGTATTACATGGACCGTACCTGTTCCAATCACACGAGATAATCATGCTGAGTTTTCCTCAAGCATTTTCGTTCTTCCAGTCATTCTTGCAATTAATCACTTATCATTCACTTGTTCACTTGGTCAAATTCTCCTTCATCAAGAAATTTCGCTTGAGGAACATCTAATTCTCGTTAACCTTGGCACAACCTGGAAATTCCTAAATAATGGACTTCTACTTCGATTAGGCAAAATCTAAAGTCCCCCAATCTCCTTGCTCTCTTCAATACTTTTTGAAGTGAACACTAAAGCATAGACTTATAATAAACGATCATGGGCTAGCATAGCTTGAAAGACAAAAGCCAATTAATGGACACTGAACGAGATGGAGTACTCACAGATTAAAACATTAGAGGCGAGTTTTGCGTTTCATTAAAATTTTTATGGGCCATAAAAGACGTAAGAAAGTATTAGACCGTTTTGTATTATTAGTCATTCATTCATTCATTCATTCATTCATTCATTCAT